TGATCTCCAGCAAAACAAAACACCAAAACCCTATGTGGAAAATCATTATACCAAAAAAGGCTAGTGAGGTGGCTCAAGTAGCAGAGTGCCATACTAACAAGCATGACGCCATCAATTCAAACCTGAGAAGAAAGAAAGAAAGAAAGGAAGAAAGAAAGGAAGAAAGAAAGAAAGAAAGAAAGAAAGAAAGAAAGAAAGAAAGAAAGAAAGAAAGAAAGAAAGAAAGAAGGAAAGAAAGGAAGCAAGAAAGGAAGCAAGGAAGGAAGCAAGGAAAAAGAAAGAGAAAGGACTGTATCTTTGTGTTTATAAATCAAACCATCTATCCAATTAAATATATATTAGACAAAATCACAAACTGAATTGACAAAATGGTTGAATCTAAAATTTCAATATGTTTTGAAAATAGGTTTCCTTTCATAAGAAGTTAAATATTTTTTCCACTGTGAATGGCAACAAATGTACACTAAAATCCTAACTAGTATCTCAAGGAAAGTCCCCAGAGCAGAAATACAAAGGACAAGAAATAATTGATAAACTGAGTCAAGCTGAGTCGAGGTCTCACTGGGAGGGATGGAGAGGGTGGCCTTCCTGCAGAATGACTATGGTCTCAGTGGAAAAGTGCGAACAGAAAACATGATCCAATTAAAAACTTTTTAAATTCTTTTTAAAAAAATACACAAGGGCATCCTTGTTGGCTTGTTTAATTTCAACAAACAAACAAACAATTAACACTAGCACTCAGGAGGTTTGGACTCTAAGAAGAGAAGAAAGGCTCTTTAATAATTGTTGATCTTTTGGATAAATGCCTAAAAGTGGGATTGCTGGGTCATAGGGGAACTCTATATGGAGTCTCTTAAGGAACTTCCATACTGCTTTCCAAAGTGGTTGAACAAGTTTACATTCTCTCCAACAATGCAGTAGGGTTCCCTTTTAGCCACATCCCCTCCAGCATTTGTTGTTATTAGATTTCTTGATTATACCATTCTAACTGGGGTGAGGTGGAATCTCAAAGTTGTTTTGATTTGCATTTCTTTTATGGCTAGAGAGGTTGAGCATTTCTTCATGTGTCTACTGGCCAATCTCGTTTCCTCTTCAGATAAGTCTCTCTTTAAGTCTTTCACCCATGGGACTGCATGAAATTGCAGAGCTTCTGCATGGCAAAAGACATAGTTAGCAAGATCAATAATAGAAAGCCCATGGATTGGGAGAAGATTTTCACTAGCCATACAATGGACAAGGGTCTCATATCTAAATTATACCTGGAATTCAAAAAATTAAATCCCCCAACAACAAATACTCAAAGAAACAACAGCTCAATAAATAAGTGGGCTAAAGACTTAAAGAGAAACTTGTCTGAAGAGGAAAGAAGGATGGCCAATAGACACATGAAGAAATGTTCAACCTC